TACTATACGCGAATTATAATGTAAATAATAAAAAACTCAGTCAGCACTGCTCACTTAAGAATCATTCTCTGGCGGCATGTACAACTATAATGTTAATAGCGTCTAGCGAACCGCAATCTTTTATCGTCTGTAATTTAATTGTAACCACGATTCGAATGAAAATAATAATTTCACTTATGATGATAATTTCGGTTCGCAACACATTTCGATTATAGTAACATTTTAATATTTGATTGTATTTACCATCTTTAGAATTTTAATAACGAACTGTATAATTTATAATAATGACTTTTATAGTAATTCTAGTTTGTAATAATTCTTTTTATGCGTAATCTATCTTAATTTCATTCCTTTCTTTACTATTAATAATTAGATAATAATGTTTGATTTAAATAAACTATGTTAATTTTCATCTCTTTCATTCTCTTATTTTAAAACCCTGAGACCTCGTAGTCGTTAACCTTGCCTTTTCAGAGATCGCACGTGGTCCAGTCCCGAGTTAAAAGGATTAGATTCCTTGACTCAAAATTTGGACCAACGACCGCACCGTTCGTAGGAAACAGGTGTCAAAGCATCCTTACTGGACGTTGACCCATATTCCGAAGCGAGCACAAAAAAGGTGCGTTCGACTTGCGACACTCGCCTCCTCGCGGGTACCTGCGAGAAAAGAGTCTGACCGTCCTTCCAAGTACCCTCACCGTTCCCGCTCCTTTCACTATCCGAGAGGATCACTAACAAATTAAAAATTTTCCAAGGGTTTGGACGTAACAATATCTATATATTAAAGAAAATGCCTACTGGCATTTAACCCCAACAAAAGTAGTGGCACATTGCCCCAAGACGTCATTTCATCTTATGATGAGCCTGTAACAGTACGATTGTTAAGAAAATGAATCAACGATGTACTGAATATTTTCATTTTAACCTACTCTAATAGATTAACAAGCTAATCGAGCTAAATATTGTGTAATGTTTAAATAATAACTTACATAAAGCATTATAAAAGTTATAAGAAGCTCATTTACGTATACCATGCCGTCATACATATTTACCTCATAAAAATAATACTGTTGCGAGGAAATTGTTGCTACTTATGCAATATGTTAAGCACACAATTATACACAATGTTGTAGCACTGACGCAAGCGCTGCTAATCGGTATCATTGTAAAACAAAACGTGTGGCATATTCCCCACACTGGCGTATTACTCGCACTTATTCTAGAAGAAAGAATAAACGATAGATTAAACCGTAGATGCAGCTCTGTCAAATCTACACCTCCCTGGAATTTATGTTTCTGTTGCTCCTCTTGATAATTTTAACGGGTTTCGTAATTGCGAAGATATTCACGGTAAATTTCAACTCGGCAACTAGCGCCTCCCACAGAGTAATCTGTACAAAAGATATGATAATTAAGTTCCTCTTTATAGTATGTCGCAATGATAGCGATGCAGTAACTAACTTGTTAAATTTAAGGTTGGCATATAATACATATAATTCAAATTCGCGTGTTGTCGATTTTGTTTTACAATTTAATTTTTTTCTTTTTATCTAAATTAAATTTCACACTTTAATTTGTTTCACAATTTAGTTTAGATAAAAAGAAAGAAATTTTATATTGAACATTAAGTTTTTGAGTGCTTTTCTTTTCTTTGTTAAAAGGATGAAAATTAATTAACTTTATTTGTAATATTTATCCCAAAATTAACAATGAACACGATAAGGTGGAGATTTACCTTCTCTGCCACAGCGACTTTAGGTATATTCCACAGAAATTCACAAATTGCGATAAAGAATGAAGCGCTGCAACCACATATTAGAACGAAAAATACACCTCCAAGACCTGTCATCCCTAATTCGTGTGTGCTTGCATTAATTTCATCTTTTTTGCACAAATCTCCTTCTCTTTCTTGCCACCACTTTATTTTGAGTTTGTGTAGTAAACCTCTCTCGTTAATCATCACGATCGCACGGTTAATATGGTTTTTATAAGGAGATTCTGCGGAAGAGATGCAAGAGAAATAGTTTATATAAAGATAAAGAAATGGAAAAATATTGGTATTGTAGTGAAGTTATAATATTACCGCGTGGCATAGCAATGCCGTACCCTCTGCTTTCGATCACGCTGCCTATTTTAATTAAGTCGCATTTGCGGTCTATGTAATATTCACTACTGCCACTTTCCATGATAAAGGCATATCGTCGTTCGCCGTGGATAACTCGGTTGATGCCTGGAACGTATTGTAACAGAAAGTTAATGTATTTGAAAAATAGAATTTAAAATAAAAAATTTATTTTTTCAAATAATGTACACACTTAAATTTTATAGGATCAAATTAATTTAATGTGAGTCGTCACTGCTCCTACTAAATATATCGTTATTTTTTACTAAAATGATAATTAAATTTGACAGTGAATATTTGTATAATATTAAATTGATATTCTGTATAGTGTCAAATATATAACCATTGTTTTAGTAAAGTATATCGTTATTTTTTACTAAAATGATAATTAAATTTGACAGTGTATATTTGTATAATATTAAATTGATATTCTGTATAGTGTCAAATATATAACCATTGTTTTAGTAAAAAATAATGATATTATTGAGTAGGAGCAGTGGCAACTCACATTAAGTTAATTTGACCCTATAAAATTTAACAGTGTAACCTTTTTTGAAGAAAGGTTTTTCAGAAGTATTTTTCACATGTATCTTACTTATAAGGTGGTGCATGTTCAATTTTGGAATTACACACCTTCTTCGTAACTTGATGTAAATACGCTTGGCTTAGAATTCACCATTGTATCCCACATTTGTTTGTACGTTGAGTAACTCGAATTCTATAATTGGATAATATCGAATCATATATGTATAAGTTATTTTCGTATTGGGCTAAAAAATATGATCATAAATAAGCTGCTAATGTACTTGGAAGAATGATTCTGTTGCGCCACCCTTTTGTATACCATATTTAATTTTTGTCTGTCTGGCCAGGCCCTCAATTCCTTTAACAGGTATGCCTATTTTGTCCACAGTGAGAAAGGCGGCTAGATTCGCTATATATAAGCTGTACATGATCAAAGTAAAGAACCACCATATGCTTGCAAGCATGCGCAGGGATGATGTTCTACAATGAAATTGATTTTATTTATGTGAAAATACTATAATAATTTAAAACATTTAACTTTTGGTTAAAAAAATAATTTCTTTAATATTTAAAATATATATGTTTATATATTTATTAATTATAATGTAATGATATCATGTTAAACTTACTTGAGTAGTATGTTTGAACCTCGTTGCATAAAAGAAGCAATAATTAAGTAGAACGAGTTTTTGAAGTTAAAATTATTTTTGAGTTCTTCGGAATCAGTATTGTACAGATGATGCGGATTGTTCCACTCGGGTGCCATTCTTAAGAAAGAATTTAAATTTTCGAAATACAAGTCACATTTTTTTTAACGTTTATTTTCACTCTACTAATTTTTACTCTACTTTTAGTCGGACTTAAAGGAAAGTCGCCGATATTGATGTAGGTCTTCTAAAGTGACATCTCTTTATTTCTCGGAAACTAACTATTGCACTTTATTAATACAAATAAATTCATGATCTATTTAGCTAGTTAGTACAAACTCATAATTCATATGTTTGTGGCTTGTTTCTATACCAAATCAGCTAGAAACGAATTCTACAAATGCAAAATAAAATTCTTACGATCTTCTTTTGCAAATTGCGTAGTTTCAATAATAGTAATTATATTATTAATAATATTACGTCGTTTTAAATACTTATAGTTTTATAAATCAGTTTTATTTATATTATTTTTTCTCTCTCTTAGTTTTTTCATAATACGATTTTGAATATAAAATTGAGGTGCAGCATAAACCGCCACATCTGTCTGTAAAACAGACAATGAGCTAATCTTGATAAGCTTAATCTTTACAATGTTGCTTTACTCGAGCTAAAGCAGTCGTGCATATATGGAAAAACCTTTGAAAAATCATCGCGTTACATATTTGCATTTTGCAGAACAGCATAAAGTAGAGGAAAGCCCCCTATAATGAGGTAAGCGCCTAATATGAGATAGCGGCATTTCTGCTAAACTAATAAACGCTATTTATTGGTTTCACTATGAATTTATTGCTCATGGATTGAAAACTATTTAGTAGAAAATTCATTATTAGATCATGCCTGTAGTCATTGTAAAAAAAGATTTTAGAATTTGAATATCTTCAAGTTTCATTGAGATGAGCCTTTAAATCTTGTTTATTATTTAATAAATAAATATTAGGCAATAAATTCTTCATGTAGTAATAAAGTAAGGTCGTACTAATAGAAAAATATGGAATATGTTGAATTGTTTAATTACAGTAGTTAGATTTGATGATCATAAAACTATAAGGCGTGGAAATCGTAATATGAGATACTCAGGGTATTTCTAATATGAAATAACCTATGCTCCTATGTTATAGTAAAAAAGAGTTGCTAAAGAGTAAATGTTATTTACTCTTACTTTAATAAAAAGTACTATAATAAAAAAAATAACCGGAATGAACGTCGAGTGCCTATTTCTGCGATGCTCGATTCCAACTACCTGAAGGCGAGTTCTGGGTATAATCGCTCATTTTTCACGCACGCTGACTGTATTTGTTTGCATTTTAGAAACATGAAATAAAGTTTTTTAATAGCAATACTGATATATTTTGCGTTTTACTGTCGATTTCTTGGGACATCTCATATTAGGAGCACAATTTTTTGACTTTGTGATTTGCTCACTTTTTACATTTCTTCAATTTAAAAAAAAAATGGAATTTGAATTAAATTTTATATAACGTTATCTTAAAACTTATTAAATTTCCTTCAAAATGACTTATTATTTTTTTAAATTCTGCCCATAGACTTCTAGCATTTATCCAAAATGAATTCGGTATCTCATAATAGGGGTCTTTCCTCTAAGTATGCAAATATAATTCAATAAACATGTTTTATAACGAAGTGAAAAATTCTGGAAACCTTGGTTCATAATCAAATCGATATCGATTGATTTTTCGGACCGTTTGATTTGATATCGACTAGGTATATTTTCTATTGATTTTCGAAGAACATTGACATTTTACGCTGTATTAATAAGATCGATATTTTATCAATGCTGCATGGATAAAATATCAATCTTCTTTCGAAGATCAACAACAACTCTAGTAGATATCAAATCAAATCCCAAAAATCAATTGACTTTAAATCAACTTATGAACCCGAGAAATCTTATACACATTCACTTGTAGGTACATTATACTATAATTCCTGTAAAAGAAAAAGAATCGGAATACGTAGCATTACTGCTTATTGTATCGGTTTTGGAATCCATTTTGTTAGACGTTCATTTTTGCTTATCTTACGAAAAAAATAATTATTGCAAAATAGCAAACAGTATTATAAAAACTGCTTATATAATTTGATAGAAGACATTTTTTAGTTTATACTTATATTTTTTAAGTTTTATTTTTTATTTTTGTTTAAGAAATATTGTCTAAAAACGAAGTAGTATGTCGCTATTGGCCTTTTCTATTAATTTGAGAAGGATAATTTTTATTATATTTTTATTATGTTCTAAATTATGAAGTATTTTATTTCTAAAAATCTTACCTTGCTTGAAGAAATAACATTATCGATACGAGGAAACAAGCAATAGCCATATAGAGCCATACTGCTTTAGAGAAAGGCGCTAAGACTGGGAAAAAAGATGACGTTTGCTTTTCCGGTTTGCTAAACACAATGCTGTAACCTAATTTAAAACAAAATTGGAATACTGCCATTAATATAGTCTAAAATTTAACTATTTATTTATTTATTTATTATTACAATATTTTAACATGTTTAATTTATTTTTGGATTCTCTAGGGGTATTACCCGTGGTCATGAAAGGCAAACTGAAATCCACAACAGTCATGCGGAGGGATGTTATCGTTAAATCAGATACAGCAAGATCGGCTTCCTAAAATTTTTAAGAAATAGATGATAAATAACAGATTACTGAAAAGTAGTGTAAACTCGAACTATTTTTTGTTATCACAATAAGTAGGAAAATCTTGTGAAATGAAGGTGATAAATAATTAACTTAGATTTTAAATAAAAGGTGGATTATTACATTAAAAAAAATACTATTATTAATTTAATTGTAATATGAAAACAACCTCAATTGATTTACATGTTTCTGTTCTATCTTTTCATAAAAGAAAATTTTTTAATTTAATAATAAGAGTGATAAGGCTCAATAAATTATAAATTACTGTCACATTAGAGGGCTACGAGCCAAAAATTAAAATATAACGTTGGTAATGGTAAAAATATAAATATATTAACGCAAGTTAAGCATATAATTAGTCGCAACAAGTAAAAACAGAATAATAAAGGAAATGTAAAAATATATATATGATATCATACGTTTCAACCTCGATCGGGTCATTCTCAATGTTTTAATACAAAAATAATTCGTTGATTCGAAGAAAACAAAGAATTTGATCGCATGTAACATATCCGGATCACACTGTAGTATTCCATAAAAATGAATGTTCGTCAGATCTTGAGAAATTCAGATATCGAAAGTTCATTTGTTGTAACCATACATATTGTTTCTGTAATATAGTTGCAAATTGTAGTAGATATAATATCTCATATAGATATTGCTTTATAAAATTAATTACAATTAAAATATACACCAATCACAGAGATATTATATAAAAACATTTCATTTAGTACAATAAATAAAATACCTTCATATTGATGGTCCCTTTCACAAATTACAATAAAATTTTTTCGAAACAATTATAAGCAAAAACGACCGGAATTAAATTTGTTGTTAA